CTGCTTGCCCCCAACTGCCCCGTCTTCTGACCTTCTCATCCCCACAACTGCCCCCGCCAGCCTGGCCACCCCCTAACTGCCCCCCTGCTGGTCTGGTTGCCCCCTAACTGTCTGGAAGGAAGTTGGATGTCTGGAAGATGTCTGGTTGATCTGGTCTAATTAGCATATTACCTTTTTATTAGTATAGATAATTATCATTCTCCAAGGTAAATTTACTTTAGTCAATAAAAAAGAACTTTAGTATTCTAATCAAATGGTGCCTTCAGCCTAGGGTTTTACTATTCCTCTCATAATTTTCCTTTTGTTTATTTCTCTTTTTTTCCAGAATCATTCATCAAAGAAAAGCTTGACACCATTTCTGATGGTTTCCCTCATATTCACCTCGTTCCTTATTTCCTTGTTTCCCAAAATCAAGAGCCCAAAACAAGATCTGCAAACTTAGCTTGCTTAAAAAGGTTCTCAAACTTAGCTTACTTAGAAAGAATGTCTGAAGCACTGTAAAATGTCTCAGCACCTTAGTTTCAGAAAATTTAAAGAATCTTTGATTTTATCCTACTAGTGAGATAATGAGATAGCCTCCCACAGTTTTCGGGATACCAACACAAGACAGGAGTCTCCCAAACACAAGACAAAGGACTGTTTTACCCACAGCAGTCACAGCCCAGTATCAGCGTTTGCACGGTTCCCCAGTCCCAGCTTTGACAGGGCTGTGTGAAGAAGGCTGGGGGACACCTGCATACGCAGGAGGTTGTTTTATAGTGGAGGAACTCCAAATTTAGGGAACTCAATTTTTTAATAATGAGCAATAAGCATACCTGATCTTTCCCCTGGAGAAAGCCATAATCTTTATTATATAACTGGACAGTAAAGAAGCCTGTCTTTGTTCTGAAGGGAGACAGCACCTCTATCTTCCTAGGATGTTTGTTATAAAAACACCTTTGAAAAGATAGTGCAGAACCAAGACAACCAGTGCCTCTCTACTCGCAGGACACGCAGAAAAGCAATGGACCCATAGAGAGACTGTCTCTCAATGGGTGTTCACATGCTTTTGGAACCATTTCTAAACCAAACATTCTGATTTCTCCTTATTTTTAATCAGTCCTTATTTTTAAATTTATATTTTCTCTGCCAGAATGAAATCTGGATTTTAATAGTGGTTAATAAAGATACTTAGAGATAGTGGTTTGTTAGGCATATAGCCCAGGTTCTCAACCTTTTTTTACAATATAAAGCTTAAAAAGAAGAAAGGCAATATAAAGGAATAGTGGTGCTTTTGTTTGTTTGCTTTTATTTTTTAAGAGAAGAGAAATTGACTCATGAAAAAGAAATCATTGTCCTTATATTTGTATTATAAGATTATATTCTACATTGCCTTCTCCCAAAATTGTGAACATAATATTAAAATAAACGTTTGTAAGCAAGTACTGTCCTGAAAAGAAATTACTGCTTAGTAAGTTTAAGTAACATATACAGTCACAATTTCAATATAAAGTTCATGCATATCATAAGTGGTATGTAATTGATAATTCAGACAAAGAGTACTCCAAATTACTTGGTTTTTATCAGATTAAATACTGTAATATAG